TTTCATGAACTACTGATGGTAAATTTAGTATAAAATGGTCTTCTCTGTCTGTGAACCTCCTTTGAACTAACTGCTAGAAATTACCTTCACAAACACATTCCTTGTTTTGTGGAACCTTTCCGACGTTAACTGGGTTTGTTTTTGTTCTGGGTTGATCCAGATTGACCTGGAGGTCTGGAAGCACTGCTTTCACCCTATTTGCTTTTAGACCCTTCAGGGCTCAAAAAAACGATGAATTACACCTGGAAATTAGAGGAAACTTTTCCTATTGTTTCAGCGTGCTGGTGTCCATATTGTATTGGATGCAGAGGGCTCCAGGTAAAGATAACGGGCCTCATCAGGGTGGATAAAGGTTAATCTGATGAGCGTGGCCACCATGTGCACTTTGTCATGTCTGTATTTGTATTTATCCTCAGCTCTGCTCTGTTATTGTTCATGTAGGTGGGCAGCAGGTGGAAAATAGCTTGTGGGTGGTAGGCACGATGCAGCTTGCTTAAGCACATGTAAATTTGGACTGAATGCACTTAGTCCTTTAACAATGTTCTGCCTTAAAGTGGAAATGCTCTTAATGAGTTTGCTGATTCTCTCAGTCCCTGTGTGAAAACAGGACAAGCTGAGTTGTGAGAGTGTGTCCGTGAAAGTGATAAAGGGCATGGAGCTCATTCCAATAAAAGAATAATCAAACTTTTTTTCCTCTTTTAAGGGCAGCACAGCAGCCACACTTGGTAAATACAAAACAGGCTGAGTTAAGGCTTTTTTTTTGGGTAGCCTACTGGCTGAAGTTGATTAGCTGTGGCAGCCATATTTAATTGGAATAACTCCATAAGGTAATTATATAGAGATGTGCACCCAACGGCTATTTCCTGAAAGTTTCCTCAAAATCAGCAGAGTGATTCATTAAAAAAAAAAAGTTTTGCTTACAGACAAACACAGACACAGGCAACATCCTTATTTTCCACCTTCATCTGTCAGAAAATTCTCATTTTAGCCGTTCACCCTGTTCAGAAGTAATTTTTTAAGGAACTTATTCATCAGAGCAAACCACACATGAGCACTAATTATCATGGTCCTTGTGACAAACTTATGATAATAATAACAATAATGTGTTATCATCATTGTGCGTTCCCATACAAAGGCAAACTTGGCTTTCTGCATTTAACCCATCCACCCCTAGGTGGAGCAGTGGGCAGTTATTAAAGGTGCCCAGGGAACAATTGGGTATAGGGTGTCCTGCTCAGAGACACGAGATGTGCAACGACTGTAGATCGAACCTGGGGCTTTCTGGTCCCAGGTCGGCTGCCCTGCCTCTACCCCATCTCGGCCCCAAGACTAAAACTGGCTTTGACAGGTCTTATCTCATTTGTGTTGGTTTGAAGTAACTCAAAACGCAGTACAGCACAGGCAAATGAGTGAAATGTTGTGCGGCAACACCAAATCATTCTTAAAATACTTTTTTCTCTGTCTTCTTTTCTTTTAGCCAACAACTCCCACTCAGGCTGAAGACCATGTTCCCAGCTGGTGGATGCAGGACTATTTCTTCTTACTGAGACAGAAGTATTGCTGTTTAGATTACAATTTAAAGTGGGACAAAAAGAACAATTTCTCAAATGCTTTAACGTCCCAGAAAAAAAAAGAAAAGAAAATAGGCCACAAAACTTTTGCAAATGTTAAGTCCTGAAAAAATGAAGGATAACTAGAAAATTAAAAACAAGTGTTTTTTTTTATTATTATTATTTTTTAGATTGACGGTTTGTGAATGTTGATGTGTCCTGTATCTGTGTGAGCAAAAAAATAATTTTGAATCCACTGCAAGTGTCAGTGTGTCTGAGTCCAGTCCACATTATTACTCACTGACAAAGGTGGAGTGCTGCTACTTTTGCATATGAAAACAAACAAAAAAAAAACTGACTGAAAGTCTCAAAAAGAGCATCTATAACTTACTGATTTTTAGAGTTAATCCTATTAAATATGGCCGTCACGGCTAAATCACTTTATCAAACACTACATTGGCTTTAACTCCAACAGTTGACAGATTTCAAGCTTAAATTAGCTGATACAGTTTTCCAACACAAACACTAAGAGGTAACTGAGAAAGCAAGATCTGTTTGTTTGTTAGCAAAATATCCCATGAACCAATCACTAAACAGATTTTAAACACATTTTCAGAAAACAATGACATTTATACAACTGATTACATTTTGAAGTCACCCTTATTCAAAAAACAACCACATTGTTTTAAATGATCAGTTACGAAACAGCTAAAACTGAAGTGCATTTTATAGAAATTTAAAATTTGGTTTGGTGGTAGCTGAGAGCGATTCAAAACACAGACTAAGAACTGTTGCGTACAATTATAGTATTAAGAATAAAAGCCAACACTGTCTGTTAGCACATTATCTTATGATTCATTTGTTCGATTTTGCTGAAAATTTTAGAAAATACTCATTTGATGCACATCAACAACTGTGACATTTAGAGCAACACCAGTTCAAGATGGCTGCCATATCTACTTCACCTTAGCCAACCACATGATTAGAATGCACTCAAATTTCCACATAATGTGTTAAGTTCGTGTGATAGTACCTGAAAACCATCCTCAACACATTTGTTCAAGCATAAACAACTTGTAAGATGTGGTTTTGGCAGAGGTTTAAAAGTTAAACCTCTGACATGAAAAGCAGCAGGGGATATGTATTTCTTCAAGGAATTCTAAGCTTTTAGTTTAATTCAGTTTTAGATATGATCAATTTGTTAACATACAACTGAAAATTTAATATTTGGTGTAACAGAGTTGAATAAGCTTATTCATGGTCAGTATTGAGAAAATATATTTAAGATGACAAATTATACCTTTACAATTTTTTTTTCCTTCAGCTTCTCTGAAATTCAGAAAAATATAAGGTTCTGGAAAATCATAAAACATCTTTTGAATAACATTTTTTAATATTAAACTGAACATGTAAGGAAATATT